TTTGCATGTGCATGTGTCAGTTTAGTTGTTGCATTAGTTGTACATTCTGAAAATGGAATCAATCTTTCGAAAAATATCTAACCAAAATGCTCTAATATTGATCCTTGTGCTAAACAAATATTAAAACCCCTTGTAGGGAAATTATATTATTATCGTAGAATTGCTTTAACTTCTGTTTACTTTCCACCACGAGGCAAATGGTTCTTTGATTTTGTGTTATTTCTAGCGAAGTAAATGCATGATGGATGTTCAAACTAGATATCAGAATCTTCACACTGGAGTCTCTTGAGTGTAAAATTCGTGTTCCCCACACCATGTCCAAGTGTGATATATCTTTTGATTTCAACTTGGAAAATTAGCGTTCAGAAACCAGGCATTAAAACAGTTTCATTTTTGGTGCCAGGTGCCACCAGGGGTCACATACTGTTTTCCCCACACCTTTCCTTAGCACCTTTCTGAGGATCTTTGCCTGGTACCCTTTCATTGTCCACGGTGTGTAGAGCAGTAAAGGCAGCGTATGTTCAGTCAGCACTAGAGGCTGCTTTCACTGATTTATTTTTAACTTTCAGTCCTTTCTTGACTTAAGTAATTGCTCTGGGAAGAAGCTATTACCTAACTTTAAATTGCGCACATTTAACCTCTCAGCCACCATAATGAGTATATTTATTTAAGACAATCAAAGTAGCTGCATAGTAGCATACTTTTAATACGTGTCCTGTTGAACCTGGACTTGTATTTCTGGTTTTTCATAGATGCATGCTGTGACTTTTAGACAGTTTCCCTGCTTGTTAATTTGGAAAGATGTAGATTTTTTTTTTCAGTCATATTTCACAGCAGTCAGTTTTAATGAAATAACTATCTGCTTAAATACAGAACTAACTAGGTTTCTTCTAGGTCCACACCTTAGCAAGTTGTTCGATCTAACAGCTTACCTGACCTCCTTATATTTCCTTTTCTGAAACAGGATAAACAGTCTCTGTTATGCTAGCCCATATCCCTGAGATCAAGGATTTCTCCTGTTTACTTCTGTCTTCCCCAGCATCTAGAACAGGATTTGCCAAATGGTAGGCCTGATAAACACTTGTTAAAATTCAGCAAGATAATGCATGTAATGCATTTAATTCAGTGCCTGGAGCAAAGTAGCAATAAAATATGGGGAGGCATTTTTCACAGCATTATTAAAGCTCTTAAATTTATCAGTTATGCTTAAAAGATGACAGTTTTTTAAAATGTCTTTTGCAGAAGAAATGGTGTTCTACCACTTAGCCAATCCATATTGGCCTCAGATAATACTCCTTAGAATGAAGTAAAATTTGTTCTCTTTCCATTCAGTCTGCCAGCATCATTTCTGGGCTGACTCATGAATATGAAACAAGAAATGGATTCATTAAGGTGTGTGTGTTTAAATCAAATTGAGATACAAGATAACTTGTGTCCTTTTAATTTTCCCAATAAGAAGTGTTCAAAGCTTTCTTTTCTAAAGTTTGTTCTAATTCTAAGAGAAAAAAACAATATTTCTTTCACACAGCTGGCTTAAATAATAGTTGAAAAAGAAGTGTAACGTTTTTCCATTTAATTTTCCATATGAATTTTTATGGAGTTTTTTTGAGTGCTATTCAGTTTTAGAAATCATCTCATTTTGCATAGCGCCTCATCTTAGCAGATGAGGGAAGTGAACATAGAAAGAGAAGTTGAGCTGTCCTTGCTAGTGGCAGAGGTAAAATGTAACAGAGTTCCTTAATTTCAACCAGTTTTGTGTTACCTCCTTTGTTGAAAATATAAAAATAAATGAATAAATCTAACTCTCTATATATTCTTCAATTCTGTCATTTTCTTCATTGATGTCTTTGCAGAGATTATAATGCTGAATTTTTAGCTAAACTATTGAAAAATTCTGTGTAAACCCTGTTCTGATGAAATAAAAGTGAATTTATTTATATCCTCCATAGTAGCAACGTGTAAGCAGAATTTGTTGGCTCTTTCGAACATATTAGAGAACTTTTGAAAATTGGTCTTCATTTTATTCAGAATGAATATGTAAGAGTATATTTGTTGTTTATACCTTGTAAAATTTCTCAGATGGCTATAAGTCAATTAATACAATGCAAATGTTTTTTTAAAATTTGAATGACTGCTTTAGTATATTTTAATATGCTATTAATATAAAGAAAGGTCAGGTAGCATTTCCAGTTGCTGGCAGGTTTCTCCTGTTGTCAAGCCTTTCCTTTTTTTTTTTTTTTTTTTTTTAATGTTATTGTCCATTTCTTACCCACTTTTGCTCATGTCAGCAGGTTAAAGTGGGATTACATATTTGTTATTGTAAAATGTATTCTCATTTTACTCATAGCCATAAATTCTTGAAGGATAAGTGGAATTATGCAGCCTTAGTCTCCTTAATACACAGGAATTTGCATGATTGTTTTAATGTCTAGTCATCTCACTGTACAACTCTTTTCTTGTATAGCTGTTAAAAAAAGTAACAACATTCATGAGGCAACCGTAATCACACACAGCTGTCATGGAGTTTAAAAAAGGTTTTTAGGAAATAATTATATCTTCATTATGTTTGAAACGTTGGAAACATATCACTGCATTTAAATGTATTGCAAATCTTCCTAAGCATATAAACTTTTAGGCCTCGGAGAGAATCAAAGCGAATCAGTCTGTGCCATGATGGCGTTGCCCCTCTGCTCAGTGTCAGACAGAGGGCCTGTCCAGAGCAGAGGGGCATGTGAGGGAGCTCGTTAGGGAGAGAATAGAGCCTCCCTCTTATTCTGTGTTCAGCAGTTCATTATGAATTTACTTTATTAATTGTAGTGCAGACACAGTAACTTACTCACGTTCTCACATACTCTTTTGGAAATGTACCAGTGAGGTGAGTAGCATACTTTGCTTTACATTTTAATATATGTACAGGATATTTGTAGTTTCTGTATGGAAATAAAACACTCCATGTGTGAGGTATTACAATATTCATTCTTTATAACGTGGAGAATTAGTGTCTAAACTTAAGTGGCAATGTTAACTGGGTATATAACATTTTGTAATGACCTCCAGCATCTTACTAGAAGAGGCTTTTTTATACATCAGAATTTTCCATAATTGAAGTGTAGTGGAATTGCTAATCATTTTCTCTCCTTTCTTCACTTCTGGTTGTCACCAGTGAGTTCAGTTTGTGTTGCAGTTAAGGTGTTATGCTGGAGCTAATCCCTGTAAAATGCTGGCGTTTGTTCTCCTTTTTCCCTATCATCAGTCTTTCACACTCGTATCAAATCCCTAATGTATCAGCAGGTTTCCCAGAGCTACTGAGTAAAAATTACCTTTGCTTTTGGTAAACTCTGAACCTTCGAGCCTCACTGTTTTCAGCTGCCCCCTGTGGATTCTGTGAAGCCTCTCTCTGCACATTCCTCACTGCCAGTTGCTTGCTTCCTGCCCTGAAACCAGGAGCCTGTGCGGAGCCTGTTCATTATTGCACCTCTACCTGCCACCCTTCTTTAAATGGAGTGTGCACATATTTGCAGTAATTGGTAATGTGTATGCAAACTACAGGTGAAAGTGGCTAGAACATCCAAATCTGAATAGCTTGTGTTCATTCAACATAATATTGTAAACCTAGCTCCTTCTAAAAGTTTTCCTTCCTTTTCTAACACCACACAAATCAGCTGTTTTATTTGTCTTTAAAGTAAATACTAAATTAATTTCTAAAAGTTTGTCTCTATTCATATCTTAGTACTTAAGTATTTATCTTCTTTGCATACTTTTTCACTTTTCTTCATTTTCATAAATATTTCCCTTTCATCCATTTGATTATGACTCATTATTAATAAAAATGGATTCCATTAGAGGTAGGATTTCTTGGGTACGCGGTTTATGGTGTTTTCACTTTTTAGCACAGTGTAGTTTCCCTACACAACTATTTTCAAGGTTGTAACTAATTCTTTTGGAAAACTTACTTTTGCTGTTAAGGACAGTACTTTTATTATTGGTGTGACTCTTTATATTGTCTCTATTTAAAGACTCCTGTACCAATTGTGAATTTAGTCTCATTAGGATTAATAAAGAGAATTTCCTTTTCTGCATGGGAACTAGCTTATTTTTAGTAGTGTTGCCTGTGGGAAATAAGATTCCTAAATATTTTTCTCAACCTTTGATTTTCTATTTGATAAAAATTGTTATGCTAATTAATATGGTGAAATAAATAGCTATCTATATGTATAATTAAAGATACTTTAAAAATCACTTAAATACATTGAGCCATCAAAATATAACACATATGCTTTTATTTTAAAGCAACTAATATATTTCTTAAAATGACAAGAGAAAAATTACTATACTTAAAAACATCTCTGCATAGCAAGAACTGACTCATTCATAGAAATGTCAGTGCCCTTTCACATGTATAATTACATAATCTGTATAATCTCTGATACAAAAAGTCTCCTATTTCTTTCTAACATGAGAGTAACTAAGGCATCAGTGTTAACAGTTACATCATTTGTAATATCAGGAGCCAGGCCCATGTTCTCAGAGATGTTTCTGTTAAAGTTAATGATTATGAAATATTTATATATATTGTGAATTGCCATAAAACACTATTTGGTTTAAAATACATTATTATGAAGCTCAATTATTTGGAGGATGCAACCCATATTTTTAAAAAAGATTACGCCAGTGTGAGTCACTTAAGTACAAAAGTGATTTCTTATTAGAAATATTTCTATTTTTCCCTTAATTATATTTCCTGAATTTTCCCTGGATTGTTCAAAGAGGAATAAATTAAAGTTTAAACCACCACACCCTTTTTATTATAGTATAGATGATAATGTGCTGTGTAAGGATCAAAGAGAAAGGGAAAATTAAAAGTTTTTAGTTCTCTAAAAAACAATTTTTTGAACCTGATGATTTTTTATGACATTTTTAATTGAAAATTTTATATGTAATTTTTTTGCCATGGCTGTATCTTCACTTTTATATTCCTGTTATGTTTGTTTTATTTTTAGTGGGTACACCTTATTACATGTCTCCAGAGAGAATACATGAAAATGGATACAACTTCAAATCTGACATCTGGTCTCTTGGCTGTCTACTGTATGAGGTAGGTAATGTTGATAAAATCCCTATTTTGATACATTGTAACATAATTTCCTCTATTCGTATAATTTAGATTTTTTTGAATAATGTTTAAGAATAAGCATTTAAATTATGAAGATTAACCCATTGAGTTATTAACTTTCATATGGAATTTAATATGTTCTCACACATTTACTTCCCCTATAATATTTTAAGTTGTGTCCTTTTGCTGAGAATTTTTTACAAATACCAATTTTTGTGTTAATAGAATGTTCTTCTGTGTATTTATAAAATTATAATTTGAGCATCTATGAAAAAGCTTCCCCAGTGCATTATAGGATAAAAAAGAAATAATGAAATGGATTTAAAATGTGAAAGTATAATAAATATGTTATGGATTTAAAATGTGAAAGTATAATAAATATGTTTATCAGTGTTTTATTTCATGTTACGTGGGTGTAATTCATCTTTAAAGATAATATACAAATAGATAATTATTCTAAGTTACCACTTAGTTTAGTTTCCATTAATAATTTTTATTGGTGAAGCTCAGAGAACTGTTGTCTTTCTCCTGTTCTTAAAAGATAATGGAATCACATAAGTTGATCTTGTAGAAATGCAGTACAATAATTCGTATCCACAGAAGAAAGCATACTGCTAACGAATTTTTACCCATGTTATAAAGCAGTGATATCAAAGACTATCTCAAGAAGTGACTACTGTAATTTTTATTTTTTAATCAAATGGCAGGAAAGAGTATAGACTTGGAGCTAAAGTTGTTAACTGAAAAGTAATCTACATCTAAGTAGGTTTAAGTAAAGCGAAGAGACACTCATTTTTATGTCTCTGTGAGGAAATGTACAGTGGATGGATAGAAACCAATGTATTTCTTACTGTTTTGTGCCTCTGTCCTCCTGAATTGAATATATGATAAGGTTATCTATTTTAATTGGCCACTGTTACTTGGAAGTAAAATATCAGGAGGTGTTTTTCTGATTATAGATTCTGGTTTAAGAAACCTGAAATTATTTTATTGTTCTGACTAAAGTGAGTAATGACTAAAAGATTTTTAAATGCTCTAACATAAATTCATCCCAATTTTTATTAAGAAAAATTATGAATTAATGATATAACAAAATGTTTCTATGTAGGTACAAGAGTATAAATGATTTATGCCCACTATATTATATTCTGCTAATATTTTGATGTAGTGTTGCAGACAAATGGCTTGATAATATTAAGCTACTATAGTCTTTAAAAGTTACTTTGCGTAGTTAAAATTTTTAATACTGTTTAGGTAATCTTAGTTCTTTATTGACAAAGCAACAGTTTCCCTTTAAACACTAGAAGGTGTATGTATAAACTAATAGCAAATTAGTTTTCATTGAGATTAAAATTAACAGTGAAACTGTTTGGCTAAGGTGCTGTTTTGAGGGGAAAGTTTGTGTAATCGTTTTAGGATTAGACTCATCAAAACTGAAACAATTTTTTACATTCCAAATTTGCATTTAAGAGGCAGTGTCTCATTTTATGTGCGCTTAAAGTGATCACAAAAATAAAATTCTTCAGACACTCCTATGTTCATGTATTGTTGGTCATTTTGAATGAAAATAATTCATCAGGGTAATATTACTAATCATCTCAGTGCATTTTCTCATTTCCTCCATGCAAGACTAGAATTGTTCTCAAGATTTAATTAATCTTTATGTTTATCTCTCTTCAGTTACGTTTGAAGATAATAATAATAGAGATACGCAGCAATTCAGCTTTAAAAAATCGGCAATAGCATCATGTAATTCTTTTATACCTACCCACTAAGAAATTACTATTAGCAGTAGAAGAATAGAAAGAAAACCATTTTTGAAAATGTATTTTAAACTCAAAATTAAACTTTCAAATATTCATGGAACCTAAAAAAATCTAGTGGTACAGTTTTAATTGATATGCAACAAAGTAGACTTTACTAATTAAAATCAAGATGCTGTGCTTTTGCTACATGGACCTTTACATGGAAAAGTAGGTTTTACACATTTCCTTTATTGTTCAGCGCAGCAATTGCATCCTTACAGGGTTGTAGGTTGGTGGCTTACAGTTCAAAAAAAAAGAGAGCTGCCACCAGCCCTGAAGACAGACAGTGGGCTTTCGTCCCTTCGACACCCCCAGAATACTAATCAGGAAAGTCAGACCCTGGAGGTCAGGGAGCAAGTCAATCATTCTCGCAATCGTCTCAGTGTGGAGGATCAAATTAGCCTGAAAAATTCAGCTGCTGGGAGGAGAGGGCGAGCAGCTGTCAGGGGCAGCATCGAGATGCACTAATGAACCAGATGAATAGTGCAAAAGCTTGAAAATAAAAACAGGACAGTTGACATTTTTCATCTGTCAAAGCAGGAGATGCATGAAAATATACTATTCCTGTTTAACTCCTTAGGGGACATTCAGATTTTTTTTAACATTCTGCAGTATTGAGACAAAAGTACTATAATGAACTCCTAGTATATGATAATGAACATATATGTGTGTGTATATATATATACACGTTTACTTAAGGTTTTACAAACATGGAAAGACTGTAGTTTATGTGTGTCTTTTTAAGGCACTGTTTTTCATACTGGTTTATCATAAAGTGTCTTTGCATTTTGAACAAAAAATACTTGTTCCTTCATTGGAAATTTCCTCTTAGGTGGAGTGTTTTGTGTATTTGGGCATTGAAATTATTTTTCACTTTTTCTCACTATATGGAAAACAATTCCAGAATAGATTGAGGTTTTATATAAAATACAGGCTAGGTACAGATTTGTTGAGCTGCTTTCCAGGCCTGATTTCCAGTCTGATCCCCTCCTGGCGAAGGCTCTGAAGGAGTTAAAGCCCTGTCTGGAGCACAGAAGACAGATGAGAGCCATTTTCAGCTTGTCCTGTCCCCACTGACGCTCACTGAGTAGCACAGCATGGACCAGCGTGTTTCACACACACTCTGCCTGTCTGGGGAATGTACACATTGTCCTTCCAAAATCAAACTTATTAGCACATGTAGAAAAGGGTGACTGACTTTGGGGCAGCCTGGCACTCCACGTTGTATTCTTGCTGCTGCGGTTCAGAGATTTAGAAGGTTTTGAACAGGATGCGAACATTTTAAATTGAATTTTAGTTTGTAACCCTGCTTACCATAGTACTTGCTTGCACTTTAAATGTCAAGTTAGAACCTTGTCTTAAAATAAATTTAAATTCAATAATGTCTTTTTTAAAGTTGTTCATCTGCTGAGGCATGTTTTTCTGCATAAAAATCTCTTTGGATGCCTTGAATTGTTCCTGTGACTTATAGGATTTTTGAACACACTTAGTGTTTTTGAGACGTTACCAAATGAAAATAGGTTCTAACGTAGGTAAGGTATTTGGGGAGAAGTTAGTACTCACATTAAGACTTTTTTTTTTTTTTCAAAATAACCTTTCCCTTGGACTATATTATGTAAGATAAAATGGTATACATTCTATTCCCTTAAATACTGTTACATTATAATGCAGTTAACAGTTTTAATAGTTTTTATGTTTGTTATATTTTGACCATTACATGGTTGAGCTATACCTTGTAATACCTGTTTTGCCATGGATATACCAGTTATTTTAATGATATTACATTCAGAGTTTAAGTTAGTGTATGTTGTTTAGTAGTGCTGTTTTACATGTATATACAGAAAAATTCTCTATTTTAGGGAATTTTAAATGTTGCAAAAATAGGTTAAGATTTTTATACTTAATAATTCTAGAAAGAAATGTTCGTAAAAATCAAAATGCTTATATATTTAAAGCATTTATCATTATTTTCTACATTAGTGTAATATATTTGATAAACTCTCCTTGAAAGTTACCATATAACTATCAGTTTAATTGGAACATTTTACAGATGGCTGCATTACAGAGTCCTTTCTATGGTGACAAAATGAATTTATACTCACTGTGTAAGAAGATAGAACAGTGTGACTACCCACCTCTTCCTTCAGATCACTATTCAGAAGAAGTAAGTAATTTTCAGTCCGTGTGTTTGTCTCTTGTTCATTTTGCTAACATTTGTTGTAGTAAGGAATTTTACTTACTACACCCAAAAATACAAATGAATAGCATAGGTGGCAGAAGTCACATTTTTTTACCCCGTTTTGTTCTCTTGGAGACTTGCTGTTTAAAAAGTTGACTGTGCAGTTTGTAATATAGAATGAATACAACAGTGTGTAGTGCAAGATTGGCCACTTCCTAGGTGTGATAAGAATAGTAGCCTGCTTTTTAGGGGATGAGTACGGAGAAGAGAATTAATGGAAAAAATCCAGGTTCTACTTAATCAACATGTCTGTTGGCCCCTCTTAATAGGCTGACTCTTTATTCTCACTATCTCAGACATACAAACAATTAAAACCGGTTTTGGTATAGTTTCCTCCATCCATGTTTTCCAAAAACTGAAATACACATCTCTTAGCTATACATCTCTGAAGTATATTTTTCAAGCTTTAGCCCTTTTTCCTTTGACAGTACCTGTCCTGTCCCCACCTCACTGCTACAGTCAAACCCTTTTGGGAAGTGTTTTGAGGTTATCATTGTAGACATGTTAAAAAGAGTATTGGATAGGATTGAAAATTTTTGAAGATGTTACCTCAAGATCTGACTTTGAATCCTTTCCTGCCTCCGTAACTCATTAAAATGAGTTGTTTGGGCTCTGTCCAACATCCAGTTTTTCACTGAACAAAGTATGTGCATTTTAGCCTAATACATTATGATTCTTTCAGTATTTAAGGAGGGAGCATGCAGACTAGCAGTTTCTGAGGTCAAGAAAGATGTGTTTATGTAAGCTCTTTCAGAGCGCTCATTGGAGACTGACCCAGAGAGGGCACTGTCTTGCATTAGGACATCTTACCTCATGAGCAACTGATTTTTTGCCCCTGGAATATGGAATGGAGCAAAAGAAAAGTATAAAACAATTATAATGTTCACTTATTAGATAACCTTGTCAGTCTTTCTGTTGTGGAATGAACAGCCAATCTTAGTATTATATAAGGAAATTTGAATCTTTGTAACTTAAATATCTCTAAAGAGTTTTTTACCATATGTAAAGCATCTGTGTTCCTAGAAAGAAATAACTACATTTTCTTCTAATAGTTTTGATACTGATAATCACCAATACCCAGTTTTTTGCTTTACAGCATTTATATCCAGGTAATTAGAATAAGCTCTTAAAAGGCTGTGGTAATTTAGAAGTATTATCTGTATTTGATGTTAATGCTCTTATGTTGGTTGTTTTTAATTACTATTTTGGGTATAGAATATAAATATGGCATTTCACAAAACCACCTTCAGAACTGTAGGCCTAGAAATACAGTAGGGTGTGAACAATAGTGCAAAATGATAGCAAGAATGTCAGGGGCCTTTCTTTGTTGTGTCATTCATGCTGTCTTCTTTTTTCCATGAAGCACATGAATATTTCACATATCTGCATCCTCATCCTCTATTCTTCTTGACTAATTTTCAGACTGTCTGAATTTGCATTTCACATGGTAGCTGATTAGGAGATGCCGAGTGCAGCAGTGAAGCCTCAGCAGGCGGTTACCATGGTGACCTTCAGCAGGATTTTAATGATGATACCACTAGTGGTTCGTTGAAGTCGGCCTGCCTGCAGGGCTACTTCACTGCAGCTAAGTGTGAAGTTGGATATGCGGATTCTCAGCCAAGGGGCAAATATCAAAGTCTGGCCCAGATAGAAGGTCTTCGAGTTGGGAGAGGAAAATAGATTACACTTTTTACTTCACTGTGTAGAGTTAGCAGTTTTGAGAAGAGCTATAAAGCAAAACACGTTATGTGGTGTAGTTGCCAAAAAAACCAGAGTAATTCCTCATATTGGTAAAATCTGTCATGTCCTAATGAAATAGTAAGGTATAATAGCTAGATAAGCATGGAAAATAATTCTTACTAAAGAAATTAGTATGAAAAATATGCAGACTATATAACAGTCTCACTTTAATCTGATGAGTTATGTAGGAAATTTCTCAGAACAAGAGCTTTGAAATGCAGATGTGCTAATAAATATTTTCTCTCCTTAAGTAGGGACTCAATTTGTCTGTAAAATTATTATTCAGAATTCACAGTTGTAACAAAGCCTAAATAGTTTTATTGCTGCCATAATTGTAACCTTAAATATTTCATTATAAAGTAGCTGCTGCAGGTGTTTTAAAAAAATCCAAATTACCCTTTAATTTCTTAGTGTAGCAAAATACAGGGACTGATGAAAAGTGAAACACAAAGTTTTTCACGTGACCTTTTAAAACTGTTTATGAAGTGCCAGTTTTATAGCTAAAATGATAAGACTCTGAAAAATAAAATTTAAGCAAATTGATTTGTCAAATGTATATTTGAGAACTTAACAAATTTACATAACTGCTGCTATGTTTTTAAGGCTCCTTCCCAAAAAAGATTTGAAGGGAACATTGCATGAGACTGCCAGCTACACCTGCCAGCAAGCCTCAACTGATAGGAATTTTAAGGAACTCTGCAAAATTTATTTCTAGATGTAATCCAGTGTTTAAAAGCTTGCAGTTTTTAAATTTCCTGTATTATAGTCTAAAGCATAGGTACCATGAAGCATTGGAAGAACCAAAAATGAAAAGTAGTGTGCTTTAGAAAAGCTTCTCTGTCAAATGTTTCCTTTAGAATTATGCTATTATACATATAATTACAGTTCTAGATTGAAATTATGGCTACACGTGAATACTAGGAATTGTTTATTTTGTGGTTTGCTGAGATATTTTTCTTATACTTTTATTTATTTTAGGGTTCCTTATTGTTTTTGTCAATAATGGTCTCAACCTTAGGGCTGGGGATTTAGCTCAGCAGCACAGCACCTGCCTGGCAAGCGCAAGGTCGTGAGTTCGGTTCCCAGTACCAGAACACGCCCCGCCCCCCGGCAAATAAAGAAAATAATGGTCTCATCCACGTAATGGGGAAAGTACTCAGCAAAAATCTTGGGTTGAAAGCAGATACTTTGTCTTAGATACACCTAGTTTAAATGTGATGGTGGTGGTGGGTAAGTTATTGAGCATTTTCCACATGTGAGGAGTTATGATTCAAATAGCCACTCATAACCCGACCTGAGCTTTTCCCTCGAGACTGAATGGTCATGGGAGACGCTATTCTTTCCCAAGTTCTACAAGAAGTTCTGTGTATTGTCATGTTTTCAAAGATGCTATTTCCTCTTTCTAAAATACTTCTTCCCCTGTTCTGTTCCAGGCAGATTTATTCTAATGATTTGAAACATGGCTTTGTTGCCATGTCTTGTATAGTTTTTCCTGGTCACTTTTCTCCCTCTACCTACTTGGCCAGCATACTATATGGTAGTTACTTCTTTTTATGTGTCTTTCCCCCACCACACCGTCAAGCTTCTGTCCTTAGAAGCAGTAACTGCTTTTTATCTGTATCTGTATGACCAGACAGATTTTTAAAGGTTTGGTGACTGATTGATTGAAGAAGTGAAAGTAAAGAAATTTAAAAACAGAATTGTGAACCAACCAATGACCGGGAATAAATAAGAGAAACTTCTGCAGAGAACTATCTTATAAATCAAAGACTTGTTCAGAAGATAAGCCAAGAGATAAGATGGTTTTCTTTTCATTGATATTAGTCCCTGTATGGTTTTTTTCATTCTTTTCCGTAAGCACTGTCATCTCTGAAATGCCCGGTGTCCATTTAGTGGGAAATACAAAAGATTCTTTTTCTTCAGTTTCAGTTTTCAATTTCTTTGAGAGACACTGGAATGGTCATCAAAATTATGTATTTCTTCAGTACATCATCTCAGACTCAGTGTAAGAAATAGTGAATGTGTAATAATTAGAAAATGATGGAGTGAGTTAATTTTAACTGATATTTTCTTGCAGCTCTTGAGCATTAATATCATAGAAAATAAGACTGTCTTAAACATTTATTATTAAAAACTGTTTAAATTGAAAAAACATGGGAATGGTGGAGTAGCATTGTGCCTCAGTGTTGCTTTTAGATTTCATTATAGGTTGAAATAGAAAATACACCATGTTCAAACCTAATTATATTTTTGAGAACTTGCTAGGTTTTACAAGTAAAGAAGCCAAAATAAGATTTAGAAATCAATAATTATGATCAGTTTCTGTATTTTTTACATTAAATATCTATTCAATTTGTGATTTTGGACCTCCAGCCCAAAGATAGAAAATATTTCTCATACTAACTGTAATTACTGGGACTTTGTCTCAAATATAAAAATTATATTTTTAAAGTATCAACCTGAAAGATCACATTCAGAGAACTAAAAAAAAATCAATGAAATAAACTTACACCTACTTGGCTTTAATCAGTTATTTTCACTTTCCTTTCCTAATTCAGCAGTATCTTTTTTTTTTCCCCTTAGAGAAAGGGAAGACAGAACAAGATTTTTCTTTCCCTCTTGGCCTCTCCAAGAATAGTTTAGCAGTTCAGGCTGACAGCATTTTCCCTGCTGCTCCACTCAAATATGTAAGAAATAACAGCCGTTTTTTTATTGGTCTTGAGATAAAAAGTCTTGGTTTTCCAGATTATTTAAAATACAATGGGGGCTGGGGATTTAGCTCAGCGGCAAAGCACCTGCCTGGCAAGCGCAAGGTCGTGAGTTCGGTTCCCGGTACTGGAGAAAAACCAAAAAATAAAAAATAAAAATAAAAAAATAAAATACAATGATTTAGTACAGTTATTTAGTGCAGTGATTAAAAGGTTTTTTCTTGTGCTTGGTTATGTATGAATAATGATAATAAATTTTTAATTTCAACTAAGCTTATTTCAGTTATGTTTAAATGGCTTTGGTAAAATACAGAATGTTTTCAACTTTTGAAATCACCCTTTTCTTTAATTGGTATAACTACTTTTTTGGTAAGGACAGTGACCTTATTCTCATTTTATATATCAGCAGTGGGGATCCAGATGGTGTTGAGAACCAATGCTAGACTTTAGGGTGCTTCCACCTCTTGGCCTACCCCT